CCCCCCCCCCCCGCCCAAATGCCTCCTTAGATAATATTCCTTTAGATATGGAAGAAGGCTTCAAGCTTGTTAGAGGAAAAATATTCCGCAACTTAGCTATGCAATGAATTATAAAATACACAGGGCTAGGAGTCCTTTGATTCCTCCAGCCTTGCACTCCATCCATCCATATTGCAGCTCTAGGGAACAAACCCGGCGCCCGTGTTTGAACAAGGCCATTTTAACAAGATTTGCTGCAGCTGGGACTCGCACATGAAAGTTGTGTGATGAAGTGTGCCGATAGAAAAATCACAACGAGACAGGCTGATTAAGTAAGAGCCCGAGAACAAAAGCAAACCTTATCACTCCTATTAAAGCCTGCCTGGTGGTGAACAATCTCCATCAAGCAGCTCTCTCTGAAATGCTAATATTTGTGGCTACTCATTCACCCATTTATTTTTTCCCTGCCATCTCCCCGCCCTCGCAGAAGAGGGCTGGGGGGGCTTCTGGTGGGTTTTTTTTTTGGGTTTGTTTTTTTTTTTTTGGTTTTGGGTTTTTTATTGAGAAATAATTTTTTCCTCGTCTAAGACAGGAACACACCTCTGTGCCGATCTGTCTTTGGAAAGATGTGGGGGAAAAGCAGTGGTAATTTAGCAATAATGAAGCTATGGCTTAATTTCCTTCTGGATTTCCCAATGCTCAGAAGAGTCCTGTTTCCAACCCCCCCCACCCCGACTGTGTTTAACCGCTGCTGCAGCTGAAAATCCAGCTGTGTACGGAAACACGGGTGCCCTCACACCGTGCCACCCTGCAAACGCTTTAACAGCAAGCGGGGAAATGGGACCATCTCCCCTTTTTTGTGTTTTTAAGCATTTGGAGGATGGCAGCTGATTTTTCTCCCTCCTCTTTGGTCTGAGCACCTGGGTGTGCTTGTTTTCCTTTTTCAATTGAAAAAAACGTGAGGCCTGAGAACATTTCTGGGAGGTAAAGGTGACCCTGCACAGTTTTGAGAAGAGCAGAAAGTTTGCTCCTGCCTTGCAAAGCTCCGACTTTAAAATAAGCTGTGCCTGAGCCCAGCTACTGAGGGGATCCCAGCTCAGGCACCCTGAAATCCCGTTTCTAGAGCCAGGGTGCTTTCGTTAACACTGGGTTACAGCTCTTCCCCTGCAAGCCCCCATGCACCTTCATGCCTTTGGCTGCCGGGTGCACGGTGCAGAACAAAGCCCCGGTGTTAGTGGCCTACAGGCACCACACCGCTCCTGCAGCCCCATCCCAGGGAGCACGGACCCATCTTTGCAGAAAGGCCCATACCCCATCATCTCCAGACCACATGTGTGCGTGGGTACCTCTCGTACATGCTGCATCTTCTAAACCCCTCCAGCCCTTCTGCTTTCCTAACCCGAATCCCCAGAACAGCAGCAGGTGCCCTCGATGCTCCCACCATCCCCAGTATTTAGCGAAAGCTGAGCTCACGTGCCAGCAAACAGCAGCAACCTGTGCTCCCTGAACGCAGAAAGTTCACCGACAAGCTGAACTGGAGTTTCTCATTACCAGCCAAAACTACTGAGGAATGATGGAAAGAGCAACTCAATCTACACGTGCTTTCAAAGGCACATGAGGAAACAGGAGGGAGATTGTCAAAATCAATGCTTTCAGTGAGGCAGATGCCCACGAGACAGCCCTGTGTGCTATTTATCCCAAACACTGTAAAATATACCCCTGTATTGAACACCGAGGGGAGGCTGCTCTTGCTTGAGCCTGACCTCTGGTACCCCCTTCTGCAACCAGAGGCAAGAGGAGATGCTGCTCCTCACAGACCCTCGCTATTGTGTGGCTGACAAGCCGCCAAGAAAGGGGAAAAAAAAAAAAAGAGAGAGAAAAAGAAAATAGGTCGAATCCTCCCTGCTTCCTACAGCCCTCGGCAACACACGGGCTTAGTAAAACACACGCTCCGGAGCTGGTGCCTAATTAGACACTGGGGTCTGATCTGCCCCCCCAAAACTGCCCCCGGGCTGGGTGCGAGAGCAGAACCCACTGAGAGCACAAACCTCTCACCTCCCTGCCCCACTGCCCGAGGGGGTTTGTGGCCCCAAAATGACCCCCGAAAAACCAAAACAAAACGACCCTAAATCTGCATTTCACAAGAACCCCCCCCAATTCAAGCACTGCACACAGAAGCCATCAATTCCCTGGCTTGCTCCCCCCCGTCCATCTCAGCAGTTAAACGTCTCCATGGTTAGAGATTTACACTTGATTTTCTGCTTTTCTGCGCTAGATAAGTAATTTCAAAATCCTGCTCTGCCCTCAGATGCTTGGGGAAGGGGAGGGGGGGGCTCCCCTTGATGGCGAGCAGCATTTTCCTGGGCTCAGCATCAAAGCCATCAAGCTCAGACAAAAGGGGGCTTAAGAGGAGGAAGACCCTCACGCTGCAAACCTGTCGTTTAGGGGCAAAATTAATTTCTCTGCTGCTTAAGATTTGGGAGGGAGGGATCCTCCTCACAGCAGCAGCCAGCCTACCACTGGGCAAAGCACATCGCAGCTAGATCTGCTAAATCCTAATCCCCCAACACACCAGGTACTGCCTAAACTCTTTCCCGTCCCTATTTCACACTTTGGGCCCAGCAACCAAGGCTGAGAGGAGGAGCAGTGGCTGCTGGGGACCCTGTCCAGGGCACCATGACCTAAAACCAATGCATTTTATCCCAGAAGCATTGCCTGTGCCTAAATCACTTTCATCCCAATGGTGGGACTGGTTTTATACCTGACCCCAGCCAAACCTGCTTGCTGAGCCAGACCTCTGCAGCCACACCAGCAAACTTTCCCCCACGGGTGGGATTCCTGCAAGAGCATCATCCCCAGCAGCTCCTCTTCAGGAGGGCAGTTCTGTTGTCTCCATGTGCTGGGAAGGAAAAAAAAAACCCAACCCAACAGCCCCTTGTGACCGCAGGGAGGATGGCGTCAAACTGCTCTTTAATTTGTCCTGGGTGTTCCTGTAATCCTGCACTCCACCCCAGTAATCCCTCCCTATCCAGGCTTCCACGCAGAGCTGACTTTATTTGCCATAATGGGGAGGAAAAAAGCCTGATTGATTGGTTTTGGGGTTTTTTTTTTAGTTCCCTAATCACCCACATAACTGATTTTTTTTTTTTCTTTCCCCTCTCAAATCTATTTTACTGCCCCAAACTACCCCCTCGCTGTTACAGTGACCCATGGACAAAGAGCACTGGTGGCAGCAGCAGCACCCAGCCTGGATCCCACGAGGCTCCCAGCAGCCACAGGCTCAGCCCCACACATTCGGGCTGTGGTTTATCCCCACACACCACCTTTGTCAGGCAGCTTTGCAAAGGCCCGTGGTGCTGCTGGGGGTGACAGGTATCCCCAGCAGTCACACTCCTGCTTGCAGGAGCTGAAGTAACCACTAAGATCAGCATTATTTTAAGATACATTCAGGCTTTTTTCTGCTTTCCCCAGAGTCTCCCCTATTCCTTTGCCCAGCCACGCCACTTCCTGGCAGAGCTGGGGTTTTCCTGGCTGGGGGATGCTCTGGTTTACAGCTGGATCTGTGTCCCCACAACAAAATCCTCGGGGGGACAGAGCTGATGACAGCAGCGCTGGGAACTCTGCCTGCCTTCGCTGTCAGGGCTCCTTCCCAGGCACAGCGCCCGCAGCACACCAGGACCATCCTCCTGCCAGTCTTCCCTTTGGAAAGGGAGTTCAGCTTCTTTGCCAAGAAAAGAAAAACAAATCTATTGGCTGCTCTCCGCAAGCCTGAGCGCCTCTTCCACCTGCTGCTTCCCCCCTAAAGCGGGGAAACTCCCATCAGACGCTTCTGCAGGAACTGTTTTTACATCTCACAGTAGTTTTAGTTCCTCGTCCCCAGCTCGTGGTTCCTGCTGTGAGCCCAGGGACTACCCTGTCACCCACAGGCTCCCTGAGCCGAGCCATCCTCCCCCCGTCAGCTGCTCTGCACCCACGGGGACAATGATGCTGTCCCCTGCCAGGTCCCCTCGGCAGGGAGCACAGCCTGGCTGGGGGCTGCAGGGGAGCAGCTGGTTTGGAGAGCAAAGACACAAGCCCTCGGGCTGCTCACAGACCCAAGGGACCTTCCCATCACCCAAACCTCGGAGTAAAACCACAGCATCAAGGCACACGGCCACTTCCTTGCAGAGCAAACTCTCCCGATGCAGCAAGCAGCCTTAAAAATCTGTGTTTTTTTTTTTTTCACCCCAATTAAATTTTCATTTAAATGATATGATTTGGAGCTCTTAATTTCTCCCAAGCCCGGGGCGGGCTGTAACACCAGCCTTTCCACAGCCACTGACAGTTTGACACCAACCGCACAAAGCAGCTTGTTCTCCAAATCTTGAGTTTGATCTAAATTAAAAGAAGCAAAGACTTCGGCGTTAACCGACCTGTCAAAACGCATTAAAAATAAATGCCTCCCAGGCCTGCCCCGCGCAGGCTCCCTACCTGCACCACGTGCCCTTTGATTACCTGCCATGCAAAACCCAGTTGACAAACATGTCCCCAAGGAGGGCTCTCCGGCTCCAAGGCAGCCTCTTGCCGGCTGCACTTGTAATTTCCCCTGCGATAACCCCAAATTTAGCCCTTTTCTACGAGATTTATTTATATTTAAATCAAGCCAGAGCTTCTCAGCCATATGATTCCCCAATAAATGCAGAGTGCTGGATTAGTTCTGGTTCGCTGGGGTGCTGGGGCTGCCTTCTGCTCCGTGCCAGCTTCTTTTTTGAGGGGCTGGAAGGGATCACAGCAGACCTGACCCCTCACCAGGCACCGGCGAGGCTCCCCCCTCACTCCCAAACACCCGCTGACCTGCATCAGGAAATTGTATTAAGTGATGCTGGGTGCAAGAGCTGTTATCACCCATCTCCCTCTTAGCATGAAGAGCTTTGGAAACGAGGGGTGGATAAAAAGAAGAGAAATCCATCAGTTGTACCTCTTGGGCCCTGCGGTTTTTGCAGCCTATTTAAGGGAGAAAGATGTAATTTTGCTGACAGGCTCTGCTCTCAAGTGTGGGATGCTCCAGCTGAGATCGATGCTCCAGGAGAGGAAACCTGGAGTTTCCCCTCTCCCTCCTTGCTAAGCTGTTCTCTCCTTCGGGGATTTCACCCCCCCACTGCTCCAAAGGCAGGATTAGGGATTTACATACAGGTGTGACACCAGACAGACCTCAGCCCCCCCCAGCTCCAGCTGGAGCTGCAGGGGCTCAGCCCTCACCCTGGCCCCACACCTCCCCAGTGCTCCCAGTACCACTAGCCCCCTGTGCTCAGCAGGGAGGGGGCAGGGGGGGCACACACTGAAGCTGTGACCCTATTTCCTGCCAAGGATTTAAAAACGCCACATTTTCAAGGCACGGTGAAACAAAGGGAAGGAGAAAACAGGACAATGAGGACTTGCAGCACCCACTGCTTTCTCCAACCAGCCCCAAGCTGGTTTGTCAGAGGGCTCATCTTGTTCAGAAGCATCTTTGGGCCAGACTGACTGTTCCTGGGGAGAAATAGTCACCTCAGAGTAGCTTCCTATGGGACCGAGCTCACTCTGCTTATCCCAGACACATGAAAACAAAATAGACTTTAAAACCCCACAAAGCAGCACTAGACAGGAGGGGTGCTTCTGCCTCCAGCAGCCCATCTCCAGGAGGAGCTCCTGCAGAGAGCTTCCCCTTTATCACCTCCACAAAACCAGCGTAGCATCCAAAACCAGCACAGGGGACAGCAGGGCCTCACCAAAAACCTGAGACAGATCCCCCCGCCAGCTGAGGCACGGCAGGAGCGCATGGGCTGCCCACAAACCTCCTGTCAGGCTGGGCCTTCCCAGGCTCTGCGAGAGCCAAAACACCCGCGTGGAGGGCAAGGGGATGTGCCAGCCCCAGCCAGGAAAAGCAGCAGCATTAAAGCAGCCATTTGATTGCCTGCCCGTGACTATCTGCTGCAGCTGGAATGCTCCTCGAGCCTCCCCGGTCCCCAGAAGCGTTCTGGGATGGAGAGACCTCAGCCCATTTAGCAGCCATGGGACATCTTGAGCATCTGAAGTGCTGTTCGCTGTCTATGCGCAGGCATCACGTGCCTCTCCAGGCATTTAGATCACGGTAATGGGATATAAATATCTAATAGCTCAGAAAACGCTTCTGTAAAAGGCTCCACAACAGACCTCCCCTGTCTCTAGGTCTCAGCATCCAAGCAGAAGAGCTTATCTCAGCACCTAAAAAGCACTTTCTCTTCTAAGTTCCGCTGCAAGAGGCGCCCACATCTGCTTTGCCAAAGAAAACATACTATTTTAGATAATTTTAGTATTTACCTGGTTCTTGGAAGTGCTCTTCATTCGAGAGGGTTCTGGATAAGATGAGGATAAGTGCTTCTTTAAATTGATCAAAATGGACCTGTGGAAAAAAAAAAAGGAAGAAAGGAGGAAATCAACTGGTGCAGATAATTAAATATCAGGCTAATAATCCAGCAGGAAGGCGGGCAGCAATGCAAATCACTCAGACCACCATGCTAAAACAAGAGCACGCCTCCGTGTGCCGACAACCTCGGCGAGGGGCACGAATGAACCTTCAGTCTCGGGGCCTGGAAAAATGACAGCAAGCAACATGAAGATGCAGCCATTATCTTTGAGCACGTGGAAAAAGTGATGGCTAGCCCAGAATGACTCAAAGCCACTGCTTTAATTGCAGTGGTTTGGGTTTTTCCATCAAGCAAGAAGCCAAAATAACATGTCCTGAGGACCAGGGAGCATCTCCATCGCTTGAGGTGACCTGGCCAGGGTCAGCAGCTCCTACAGGGGGGATACCAGTCCTGACCTGTGATGAGATGCTACATTGTGGAAACGCTCCACTGCCCTAATTAAGCCTCAGAAAACACTTTCCAAAGCAGATGGAAGAAAGTCGCATCCTTTCCAGGACAGCCCTGCCCCGGCTCCTGCCTGCTGCAGCCCTGCAAGGCTGGAAATACCAGGTCTGGAGTGTGGCTACGGGAAAAGCAAGGAGGGATGATCCTACCATGGGTTTGGTTTTTTTTTTTTTTTCTTTTTTTTCTTTTTTTTCTTTTTTCCCCCCTCCATTTTCTATCTGTGGCTTCCTGGAAAGCTTCCTGCCTCACCACCAGGAATGAAGGGGCTGGAGCATCCTTCACAGCCGCGCTGGGGAATGTCAGCAATTCCAGCCACGGGGGACGGAAACCCGGGGACAGCTGGGGAAGCTATTTGACATGGGTCAGTGGCGAGGCAGAGCTGGCTGCTAGGATTCTTTTTGGCTAAATAAATCTTTGAAGAATTTTTAGCATTGAACAAAAGACTTTGCATTTAAAGAACCCACCGAGGTTCCTCTTTGCTGGCAGAGTCGATTGCTGCCAACGTGGCACAAAGGGCAGGAGCCAGTCAGAGGGGATTTTAATGCTGCTGGGGGAGACACAAGCAGCAAAGTTCAGGTCTGAAGTTTGCCAGTTTGTTCTCGGGGTCGAGCCAGCCCAAAAAAGAGCAATGTGCTCCCTGGCAGATGGGGATGCCAGCAGAGTTGGGGGCTCAGCCATGGGCCCCCCAACCCCGTGCAGGGGAGCACCTCACACCACAGTTCAGGTGGTGCAAATCTCCCTTGTGGTTTTAAACACAGGCTCCCTCAGTAATTAAACAGTTAGAAATATGTTCAGCTAAGAAACTTGTCAGGGATGCCTTCATCTGAATACTAATTGCTGCCATTCATTTCCAAACTCTGGTGTACTTCAAAAGGACAGTTTACAGAGATAGGAGAATTTGCCTGATTAAAAAAAACCTTGACATTTAGACTAAATGAGGATGAATAAAAGATGAGTGTTCGAATAACAGGTCCCTTCCCCATGGGATCTTCTCGGGAAAGAAACATTGACGAGAGCCACAGGGACAGACAGAGCCCCTCCCTCGGATGGGACCTCACGCTCCAGCAAGAAAATAAAATAAAAATCACTTTGCATCACTCATGTGAACACACCAAGCGAGAAGGCAGAGTGAAACCACTCGGGCAGGTGAGGAGAGCACCACTGGCATGTAACCGGCTCTGCCTAAGGAGCCCCCTAACTTGTGTTTGCCAAGAAGCACTAAGGAAGGGGAGGAAGGAGGAAGGGGGGCTGAGTCCTCACCGTCGCAGCTGCGTGTGGGACAGATGGCTCCGGCATCGAGGCTGCAGAGCAATTTTACCATGACCATGACATCCAAAGGAGCCCGTAGAAGATTAGACTGGGGGGCAGGATGCAGCCATCCTCCAGCCCTCCCCGTGCCGTAGGCAACCCCACAGCAGGATTTAAAATGCAAATTGGCAGCGTAGAGACACGACAGCGGGCGCTTGCACAGGCTCAGAGGGGTCCCACAACCCCTTCTGAGCAGCAGCACCCAACTCTGGATGTAGCCGGAGCTGGTAGAGGAGGGATATTTTTCTTCAGGATAACCTCTGGCTCACCGTAACACCAGGTACTCAGGAAAAACAGTATCTGTGCTGCACATCTGAGGTTGGATGCTGCACGTCTGTACAAAGAGTGCTTAAAGAGCCAGAGAAATGCAACTGTTAACATTAGAGCGGTGCTCAAGTACAAGCCAGCAAGACAGCAATGCCACAAACACTACAATATCTCATATTTTAAAGAAAAGAGTCCTTTGCCACAGCTCCCCAGCAACGCCCTCACTCTGTATCCCCATCCAATCCAAACGCCAGCGTGCAGGCAGGGGTGATGCACATCCCCGGGGGATACGGAGCAGGCGCTGCCCACACCACAAAGCACCCCACACGCGTGTGCTCGGTACCTACATGCCTCCAACACCCACGTGCTGTCACAGAGGGTCACCCTCTTACCTGGAAAGCCCATGCCAGGGAGGCTGTGGGCTCCCCACAAGCGCAAGGGGCACTTCCAGGGATGCGACAGCCCACGTGGGAAGCACGAGTCTGCAGCAACAGCCTTTGGTTTTTGCTTAGAGAACATCTCCAGCAAAAGGATGGGCTTGGATAGCCCTGGGGAGGAGAGCACTAACTGCAGCACTGCTGCACAAAGCACCATCCCCTTCTGGAAAAGAGCCTCAGACACTCAAGCCAACCCAAAAGCTTTACAAACACAAGGCAGAAAGCATCCAGCAGCAAAACACTGTTGGCGTATTTAATGCTCTTTTCAACGTGCTTGATTGAATTTGGGGTATTTTGGAACTGCAACGTACATCTGCTCGCAGAGGCTTTGAACAGCAACCTGAGGGCTGATCCAAAGCAGCCCAAACACAGAGGAGTTTGGGAGGCAACGTTGTGGCGTGGCTTGGGCCCTCCCAGAGGTGTGGATCAGGGACAGGACATGTGTCCCTGCAAACCCCACAGCGAGACCAGGGGCACGTTAAGTCCCTGATGAGGAGAATTTTCCCAGAATAAGTAAAACAGAGGCAAACAAGACTAATACACCACACAAACATAGCGAGCTCAGCCCAGCTTCCCCATGGTAATCAAGGGCCAACCAAGCTGCCAGCTGCTGAGCAACCCCAGCACCTTTGAGAAATCTTGATGCCTGCTTTAAAGCAAGTTTCCTACAGAGCCGTGACTTATTAGCACTAGAAAGAGAGCGTGTGTGTGCCAAGATACCTGCTGCTTCTTGCTATTTGTCCCTGCAATGTAAAGCAGCAGACTGCAGCCTCGGTCTCTTTGAGGCAAAAGATCATGGGTGGCTCCTTCCAGATCCCTCTCCATCTTTGAGCAGCGTCCTTGTCCCAAAGTCCTGTCCCTGCTTGCAAACTCCCTCCAGAGTGGGAGGAAATGGGAAGCAGGGAGACGTCAGGTGGGGAAGACAGGGAAAAATCTTGCAACCAAGTCTCCTGCCTGGCACGCAAAAAGCCACTGCGCACTAAAGGGAGCAGCATCACAGCGGGCTCAGAGGGATTATATTTGCAAGAGGTCACCAGCCAAAGCACTGAAGAGAGCTGACAAGCGAAACCCCACGCCGCGGTGCCCTTGCTGCAGGCTTGCTAACGCAATAGCGCAGGGGCAGGGCGAAACCTGAACTCCCCGTCCCTGCCCGAGGACGGCCGCAAAGGACGGTCCTTGTGCAGCATCCGGAGGTGCCCGAATTAACCCCCGTCTGCAAGTGATGTAACCGCAGCGATCGCTGCGGCCCGTGAGGCAGGAGGCTGGCCGAGGAGGGCATGCCGGCACGCATCCCCTCGGCCCGAGGAAAGAGCATCCCTGAGGAATCCCAGGAATCACTGCGAGCATTGCCTCCGCACGCAATCGCGTGAGAAAAGCGGTTCTGGAATGGTTTTGGCTCTGCTGCGAGCCGGGGCAGGTTTAACACACCCTCACCCGACCCCGGAGATGGTGGGTACCTGTTAATCCCCAAAGCACCGCGGCATGGGGGAGGCAGCACATCCAGCCCCTCGCCGGGACACCAGCTCAGCTCCTGGTCCAACGGAGCAACCCCAGCACAGTGCATTCATCCCCAGAGCAGAGCCCCCGGCACAAAAGCAAGCACGTGGCCCTGCCAAGTTGCCCCGCAGCAGACAAAACCAGTCCCCCCTCCTCCGCTGCCCCCCTCCCCGGTGCCTTGCCATAAATCCTGGCCCCTGGAAGTGCAGGCAAACAAAGGCTGCTCCCATCCCCGAGAGGGACCATCTGCGCCCAGGAGCTGGCAGGGCAGGTGCAAGAAGCCTGCGTTCGGGGAGCAACATGTTTGCTGCTATTCTCCCGATGAGCTCCCTAGGAAACCCGAAGGATTCGATAGCTATTAAATCAGGCTCGCGCTTAGACATGGGCCATTGCTGCTGCTAACAAGCACAAATGCCAGGGAGATGGGAGGAAATGCAGGAGACAAAGACTATTCTGACCTTCAAGTTACAGGTTGTAGGCAAGAACTGTCTCCAAAGACAAAGTGAGGGGGGGAAAAAATAAAAATGCTCCTTGGGATGCCTCGTGCCCTGGGACAGCAGCCATGGAGTTCCTGGCTGGGATGGGGTGAGGGTGACCCAGCACTTGGGGCTTTTTGGTGTTGGGCTTTTAATTTAACTTGACTTTGCTTTTCACCCACTCTCAGCAGGCCACAGGCATGAGCACTGTTGCTTTAGCCCCGACCAGCTGCAACAATTACACCTTTAGTACTGCTCTTCCTTTCCCTCTACCCCACCGTCCTGTGAGCAAAGCCGGATAACAGCATCGAGACAGCTGAGCAGCACGGGAAGGCTCCGGTGCGCAAGCAAATGCCACGCTTCGAAGGTGAGGAACCTCAGTCTGGATCCATCCATGCTCCAGCACCACCCTCAGCAGAAGAGCTACAGCCCCAGGGCCGGTGAGGAAGAGGAGGCTTTGTTCATTAAAGGAATTATTTTGTTTTGTGACAGCCGCAGTTTAATAGGAAATCGGAGTCGGGATGGCTGCTTAGCTCGTGCCTACTGAGAGCCCTGACTGTCCTGCTCAGCATTTTCTGATTTTATGGAGCAGCGATGGGATTTCAGGGTGATTTTGAGGGTAACATCCAACAGGCTCTGAGCACAGCGTGCTGGGAAGGAGGTACGGAAGGACATGGTGAACATGGAGGTCCCGCCAAGGGCAAACAGCCTCTGCTCAACACCCTGGAATTTAACTCTCTAAAGGTACAACCACAACCGAAAAATTGCTTTGGAAAGCATGGTGTGCTCACCAGCCACAGCTCCCCTCCAGGGGTTGGCAGGACGCTGCAACCCCACAGAAGAAAGGAGCCGTTTGTCCCCAAAAACCTATCCCAGGTGGGTCTGCAACAACTGCAGCTACGTGTGGACACCAACACCAGGTAACGTGGACAAAGGCAGCTCAGCCAGCGACTGCTGGGACTGGACAACGCTCCCTACTTCAGGGAAAACGTGCGTGACTGCATGTGGCCCTGCTGGTTTAACTACAGCTTAAATCTACGTAAATCACACCGGGTGAGCCGGTTTGGGGAGCTGACCCAGGCCAGCAGCAGCACTAACCAGCGCTGGGGGGCACATGTGCTGTGTGAGCCAGCGTGGGCTCGGCTGAGCACCGGCACCAGTGCAAGGGCAGCAGGGACCCAGCGCCTGGCTTAGCCTGGGAAAGCACTCCCTGCAATGCCAGCACACGTGGCTGAGCGTAAAGCCGTGGGTTTGGAGAGTTTCAGACTGCCTCCAGTCAGGGAATACACACCAGGGAGCAGTTTCCTTCCCCGTTATCACTAACCCCCCCCCTCTGTGCCCACCCTGCTGAACAGAACAACAGACCTCGCCAGTCCTGCGGCCCCAGAGCCTCAGGAATGTTGGATATTCACAAGTTACCGACATTCAGCCTCCTTCCATCACCCTCCCACACACACAGGAGCAGTTGCCCGGCGCTGCCTTGCTCCCAAGCCGCAGACCCCCATCGCCCCCCCTGCATCGCCCCAACCTTACCCTGCCTAGGACGTTGCCTTGGAGGAGGGTCTGCTGCAGCGCCGGGGCCACCTCCTCCAGGTGCAGCATGTGGCAGAGGTCGGTGAGCTCCTCCTGCCCCAGGGACCCCGTGCCCGTGCTGTCGAAGCTGTCGAAGAGCTCCTTGAGGCGAGCTTCATACTGGTCCTGCTCAGCTTCATCCATCCCATAGCCTGCCACGCTCACCTGCGGGGAGAGATGGGGCCCGTAAGCATCAGCTGCAGTGCCCACGGCACAGCATGCAAAAAAAAAAACCCCAAGGGCTCATAAGGGGCAGCCCAGGGGGCCATTTGCTGCAGCTTGTGTTAAGTGAACCCGGTACTCTACCAGCCTCTCGCATCCCACTGGGTGAAGCCAGAAGTCACCCAGCAAAAAGACCAAGGGGAAAAAAAAAAAAATCACTAATCAGAGCATCGCAGCCCCAGGGTGCCCCCTCGTCCCGGCTCCCTGAGCAGTTCATTTGGCTCAGCTGGAGCAGCTGAGGTGCTGCAGGGGAAAACTGTTCCCTTGAGCTGGTTGCCAGGTGTTGCAGGTGATGCTTTTTCTGCCTTAGCAAGGAGATAAACAACGATCCAGATAGCAACAGCTCACCAGTGGCAAGGAGCAAAGCATGGGGCTCTGCCTGCGGTGGGGAGGGCAGGAGATCCCAACCCTGAACGCTTCAGGCCAGCTCAGCCACCACTTACACTCCCCTCCACAAACACAAAACACATCCCTGCACTGGATATACTCCTTTTTCTACCGGCCTGGCTGCAGGGAGTCCCAACACCCCACCAGCCCTGTTGATGCCAGTGTGCAGCATCTCTATTTTTCCTCCACAACCCCAGCCCAAAGCCACGCGGTGCCCTGCGCCTGGGGAGGACACATCCCCATCCCCGCTGGGTCACTGCCCAGCTCCTGGCACTCACCACTCCTTTAGGTACTGCAGGTTAAACCCTGTCTGAAGGCAGAGAAGTATTTGACAGAGGACACTGCTGGGGTGGCAGCAAACCCAGCCCAGGAGCAGAGCTGACCCCAGCACGGAGATGGAATGCAGCTGATCTCCTGCACCAGCAAACAAAGCCCAGGTGGTTTCCCCACGGGCTTCATCCTCCCCTCCAAGCCCACAGTTTTCCACCTCTCTCATCCCATCACTAATCAGAGCATCGCAGCCCCAGGATCTGTTCTGACAGGGGAGCAGGGAGGGAAATTTCCTGTTCAAAATGAAGGATTTGGTTGGCATCTGTTTACGCAGCCTGGCTGTGGGGCTCCCCGCCTGCTCAGGGCAGCAGTGTAACCCAGTGCCACGGACATGTCACCACTCCAGGAGCATGTGCCACCACCCCGGGGGCACGATAGGCTCCGCAGCCATCATCACTGGGGTGCACCCAACAGCAGCGGGCGTTGCAGGGACCTGGTGGCCCAAGGACATAACCCCAGCTGCTCAGCCAGCCTCAGACCATGGCCCAAGTGCCAGCCAGGTCTCCATGTGACTTTTGGCTTGCCCACGCTGCTGCAGGTTGTCTCAGCTAGATTTCCTGAAGTGTGGGGGGGGTCCTACCCAAACCCCCTCACTGTCCAGCTCTGCTACAGAGCAGCCACCTCCCCTCCTCTCTCTGGGCCTCGCAGGGCTTCTGCCAGTCGCCTGCATCACTAGCAGCACTCACGGACATCCCAGAATAAGCAGAGCTGCTCCGACTGCAAGGTGCAACCTGATTTCACCCCCCTGCCCATCACTGCAGCCTCGAAGAACACACTTATCTTCAAGAGCATCATGAGCCACCACATCAGCTCGCACAAGCACCCGGCAGCAGAGGGGCAGTCAGAAAAGCGCGTCCCACCACCACAGCTGGATAACTAGGGAGCCTCCAGGGCAGACACTGCAGTAGCCATGTCCTTTATTTTGCTGGCCATGGGAGCAGCACCGCGCTCCCACACCTGCTGAGGGATGTGGGGCTGCTGTCAAGTGGCACTTGGGGTCCATAGGACAAATATCTCAGCCTGGCTGTCCTTCCTCCCACACGGACATGGGCAAGGACGGCAGCATCACCAGACCCCGAGAGAGAATGGACGCAATCCCTCCCCGAGCCTCACACCCTCGGTGTCCCCTGATTACCTCCACCCCACCCCCAGATGCCTCTTGAGCTGCTTTACCAAAGCACCCAAGCGCTGCGGGGAGGACCACAGGCACAGACATGTTTACATTCAACCCAGAGTGCAGAGGAGGACCCGACACCCAGAAAAACCTCAGGTGCCTGCAAGCAGAAGGAAGGCAGCAAACTAGTTTCCATTCTCATGCTGGCAACCCCGTTTCCCACCCGCACCCACCATTCAGCTCACGTGGGGCTGGAGAGCAGCTGCTGCCAGGTACCAGCGCTGTGGGGAGCCCTGGCAGCCCCAAAACTCACAGCCAAGCCTGCAGCAAAGGTGACTCCAACCCCTGGAGCCTCCCAGGCATTTTTGAGCCTCTTATCTTCAGGGCCGGTCACCTCCCGCTCCCCTGCAACCTCTCCAAGCACTTGACTACTTCCACACTGTCAGAACCAGTTCCCCCAGTTAGGCAGCGTGGAGGGCTAAATACCACCTCCCAGCATGTCCCCGGAGCACTGGGGTCACCCCCTCTCAGTGCCATACCAGCAGGCAGCCCCAAAAACTTATGCCGTGTGAGTCTGGATGGGCTGAAGGAGGCAGCACTGGGGAGCCCATAAAACCAGCAAGAAAAATACAATCCCCAGAGGAGAAAAGCGTCAGGTCCATGGTCCCTGCCTGGGGTCAGACCTGCCCTACAGCCCAGGTGAGATTTTGGTGAGGGCACAGTGGCCCTGGCAGCCTCGTGTATCCCCACAGCGAGGGATGGTTGGAGCTCACCAGGCTCTGCATCAGCTCGGTGAGACCCAGCCACCCCTGCGCAGCCCAGGGTGGGGATTTCATGCTTTCCAGCATAAAAAGCATCAGAAATAAAGAAAAAGGACAACGCTCTTTGCCTACCTGCAGTCAGTCAATGACAGCGAGCTGCCAGCAGCAAGGCGATCCCGCACGCATCCTGCACAACCTCCATCTTAGGAAGCTGGCTCCGGCACGCAGCCGGCTGCGCAAGGTGACCCAAGATGCCTACTCCCGGCTGAATTATTCAGCAGCGATTCGAGAGAGAGGGGGGAAAAAAAAACAAAAAAAACAACAACCCAACCCTCCTACCTGATGAGCTCACGAAGCTGCCTGGCATCACCCAGCAGTCAAAATAATGAGGTCAGCGGCATCAGAGACCCGGCGTGCACAGCCACCCTCCGCAGCCGCGCGCCGGAGCTGCCTTGCGGGGTCGGGGATGGGAGACTGGCAGCAGAGGAAGGGCTAAGAGAGGAGGGGGGGGAACACAAGAGGCACACAAAGCCCGAATTAAACCCCAGCCTTTCATCTCTGCTCCAGATGGACCAGCAGCTGAGATGCAGGAGGGCAGCCCGGAGCCGGTAGAATAATAGGGGCAGGCGGGCAGCAGCTGAGCGGGGGCTCCCCAGACCCCTGCGAGGAGAGGGGCTGTTCCCTGTATAGGGCATCACCACTTTGTTCAGATTTATAGCTGGCCTTCTGTGTTAAGTCCCCCAAAATGACCAGCATGAGCAGACGGTACAGAAAAGTGCAGGTTTAGGAGAAGTACTTGGAGTCATAACCACATTATTCTTTATTCTCCCTATAACACGTCCTGAGAGGCAAAGCACTCGGGGATGATGAGAAGAGGAAGTTTTCACCAGCGTTTCTTTCCTTCCTTTAAATCCACCCTCTCTTGAGAGCCAGATAACCTTCACGGCACACAATGTAGAGGCCCGATAGGACCACATTCTCAGCTAAATTTAACTCAAACAATATAGGCTTAAACAGTAATTACCACTTCGCATATTAAGTGCCTGGAATCAATATCAACCCCCAAGCTTTAGCCTCAAGCTAATGAAGACACAGATTACCTGGTCGGTCAATGGCACCATCAAGGAAAAACACAATTAGCACAACGCCTTTTTTTTTTTTTTTTTTTTTTGTGGTGCAAAACAGTATTAATGCAAACAGCAGGCTTGCTGCTGCGCAGTGGCACAACATGGAGATTTCAGGGATGCTCTGCCTGGATGCCCCCCGTGGGCGGCATCACCAGCCAACCCCTCTCCAGGGCTACGCTGCCTCCATCCCAACCAGCCCTCCGCAGAAGGCAGCAGCCTCGAGAAAGTCATCTCCTTCAGGGGACAGCAAGGAAAACGCTGCTTTTGCTGCTGCCTCGACTCAAATGAGGGCCTGGCAATTAGCAGCAAGCGCCCAGCAAAGCGGCATCACGTGAGCACCTCCAAAATACGAGCACCCGTTCTCCCCAAGACGTAACTGTTCGGTTACATTCACCCTGCTTGGAAGAGCAAGGTCATGTGTGGGCAAGTTAAAAGGAACTTGCCCTTCCCTCTGCACTTGGGACAAGTGGGATGATGTGAACACGGGCAGCAAAACCCACTCGTACGCCAGTTTTTCACGGCAGAGTTTATGGGGAGATGCCCAGCAGCCACCGAAGCCAGCCCCTTGAGCTCTTGCTGGAAAGCTGGAACTGGGGTTGTCTCATCTAACTCATTATCTCCTTTCCCTAATGAACCGTCTCACCCACCGCAGCTGCGGCCAAGCTGCCGGGATTCGCCGCGTACACCCCCAAACCCCCACACCACGGCCTGTGTCAGGGCGGTTCTGAGCTCAGCCCATCCCACAACACCCCATCCCCTCTTGGGCAGCAGCAGCTCCATAAAGGGTCGCGCCAAGAAACCAAAAGAAAGAGAAAAAAAAACCAACCAAACCCAAACCAACGAAAGGACAATGAAGCACCCAAATATCAGTAAATCACTTGACAGCACGCCCGGCTCTTCAAGGGTCACCACCAAAGTCAGCTTTACAGCTGGCGGGTCCTCCTCCTCATTGAGCACGGTCATAATTTTTGCAGCCCAACGCTTTGCACCTCAATGCCACCTCCGGCCGTGCTCCCCAAACCACGGCCAAACCCTTCGAAGTTGGCAAAGAAAAGAGATTCTGTTAACCAAGCTCCACTCCAGATCAGCAAAGCAGCGATGGCATATAAAGCGCTATAAATTTATGTAAAGAGCTTCAAAAGCAGCGCAGGATTTTGAATATTCACGCCACCCTGGTATTTGCATTGTAATAGGGCCTTTCAATGAGCAGCCTTCCCCTCAATAAGGAAAAAACAAAGCGCCCATCTGTTTTGATTTTGCAAATGGGGCTGGAGTTGGGCTGCAATAACTCGGGGAGCCCTGGGTGCGATAAAGCCCAAGCTATGGGCACAAAGCTGATTATGTCAGAAGTAAACAAAGCCAGCCGGTAATTCAGCCAGCGCCGCCCCGCACGCCGGGGAAGGAGGGAGTCGGTAATTCCCGCGGAGCTCAGCCCTGCTGAATCACGGCGATAACACGGCGCCTCCATCCCCGCACTGTCACCCCCCGCCCGCCCGGGTTTTGGGGAGCAAATGAGAAAGATGGGCAGGATACAGGCGCGCCCCCCCCAAGCGGACACGGCAAAGCCCTCGGTGCTCCCGGCTGCGGTGGCCGAGCATCGCTGGCTGCGGGTCCGGGCTTTCCTGACTCACGGTTTGGGCTCGTGGATGGGCCAGAGGTGACGGGCCCACGGCTTGTGGCCAGACAGCAGATGCCATCTGCCACCCCGGGGACAGCCAGGGCTTCGCCAGCGACAAAACAACCGCTGTTATTAATCCCTCCAGCCCCAGCCTGCTGCATCCTCACCTCAGCCCGGGGAGAGCTGCTCCAGAACCACCTCCCAACCCTCCCCACCCAGATTTCAGGGCATTTAGAGCATCTCTTGGGGGACGGGACAGGGCCACGCCACAGGGTGGGGTGCCCTTGGCAGGAGGGCTGGCAGCACCCCGCCAGACCACTGCTGGGAACGGGGGGGGGGCGCTTCT